TCCGAGTGGTTGGTACCAACTCAGACTGCCCCTTGGGCCTCCTCATGCCTCGTTTTTCATTTTCAAATGCTGCTCCCTTGAGTCTAAATGCCCAAGGGGCAGCTTTACTCGAAAGAAAAAGACCTTGTTGGCCTTTTTTTGCATTTTTTTTTATTCTACCCCATTATGGGTAGGCCGAGATATTTTCCCATGCCTCGGTGCTACCTCAGCCTTGGATCTGGCTTAGATCCAAGGCCAGCAACGCTCACTTTCTCAATTTTTGGTGCATCTGACCCTCGTTTTGGGTCAAATGCACAGTTTTGTCTTCTTCCCTCTTTTGTTTTTTTCCATTTTGGGTCAAATGCACAATTTTGTCTTCTTCCCTCTTTTGTTTCTTTCCATTTTGGGTTGCCAGTTTTTGCTTCAACAGTGGCTAATATTTTCCACCGTCCACATCTTAATCTCGATGACGCCACTTGTTTGCACATTCATCCCGCTTGCTGGGTCATGGTTCCCTTGGAACGACTCAAGTCCCCACCATTCTCCCCATGCTAGTCCCTTTTTCTAGTCCCGACGGTGGTCTCGCTGGCGCATGTCCCAATTTTCAACCATTTTTATTTGGGTCCACCTAGTCTCCGACATCGTCCCCGATGACGTCCCATTTTTATTTGGGACTTCCTTGTCCCCGACAGTTCCAATCTCTCCATCTCATGGGCCTCAAGTGCCGTGAATATTTCGGTCGCGAGATCCACCATTTCGCGACCACCATTTACTATCTCCTTTTGCCCAAGCCCAAAACATTTTTTTTCTAGTGTCTTGCATGTGCCAAGGCTCTTTTTCTCTTGGCCTAGGCATCCCAAAGCAGTCTGTTATTTCTCGGACTGCTATAGTGGTCATTTTCCTAGCCCCATTGCCCCACAACTTGCTCCAAACTGAATTAAAACAAAGCAGTCAACATCCAAGTGCATCCGGACTCATTGTTGGCTCCAGACGCACCTAAAACATGTGTTTTTCTCCCCTCTTGCAATCCGTTGTATCTCGGTTGCATGAGGTTTTGATTTTCTTTGATTTTCTCTGCAAAATCTAAAGAAAATCAAGGTACTTTGCAACCGACATATCCCAGGATGTACCTGGTCACGGATGTACCTTCCTAAGTGGTCGTTTTTTACCGTTAGTGCCCTTTTTCCTTTTTTTTTTTTTTTTTTTTTTTTTCCTTTTCCGGGTTTTCCCTCCATTTTCAAAAAGTAGGGACCTGACAGCCCCTACTTGTCCCAGTCCCTACTGACGGCCAACTCACTCACTCCCTCTCACTCCTCTTGTCTTATTCTCCCACTTTTTCCTCCCTCTTTTTCTTTTCCTTTTTTTTTTTTTTTCAGCATGTCAAGTGTCAACTAGTTGTTAAGGCCTTTTCTAGGCCCTTCCTATGCCCAAGGTGTAGTCCGTTATTTTTCGGACTGCAACAGTGGCTCCCCAATGCCCATGGGAGCCTTATTTTACCTCTTTTTTCTCCCAACTGCGGCCCCTGCTCCGATTTTCTCCCGGAGGCCTATTTTTCAGATGGAGCTTCTCTAGGCTCCATTTTCTTGATGGTGGCTGATCCGAGATATTTCAGATTGCTGCCATGCCTCTCCTCAATTTTCTTTGCTTTCCTTTTCTCTTTTGGTCCTCCCGTTTGCTTCCACTAGTGCGTGTTAATATTCTTGGTCGTTCAGATCTTCATCTTGATTGCGCACCTTGCTTTGAATATTTCTTTCTTTTAGCTCTTCCCAACTGTTCCTTGGGACATCACAAATCCCCGCTACTTGTCCCGCGCTAGTCCCCAACACTTGTCCCGCCGGTGGTCCCACCGACACTTGTCCCGCGCTAGTCCTCGACACTTGTCCCGTCGGTGGTCCCGCCGACACTTGTCCCAAAATACGATTATTTTTACTTAGTCCCATACGGTCCTCGACATCTTTCCTCATGGTGTCCTGGTCCCTCTCGACGTTTCACACCTCATGGCGGCCTTATTTCCTTGCTTTTTTCCATGTCCCTTGCGCGTCGGTATTTTCGGTCGCGGCCTTTGCTCTTGCGGTCACCGTTGGTTGCCCTGAGTGGCCCCCATGCTAGAGTCCCTTTTTTTTCTAGTGTCTTGTGACCGTCAAGGCCCTCCTTCTTATGCTTTCGACATTCCCTCGTGGTCCGCCTCGCCCCTTTGGCTGGTTCATGGTCCTTTGGCCCTTCTCATGCAGACTTTTAGTGGCGTTCTTGGCCACATGCCAATTCTCATGCGTCGGCGCCCGACACTTATTTTCTTGGCGTCGTTGACCCCATCCATCCTGCGGCACTTAACCCAAAGCATTGTTTTTCCCGACGGTTCTCCTTCTTTTGAGAAAGGAGGGCCACCTTTACTATTCTCCCGTGACCCTTTGCCGCTTGTTATTCCACTAATCTATTATTGGCTCAGTTGTTCTGGCGGCCCGAGGCATTTTCTAGGCCTCTAGGCGCCTTAGTCCTCCATCTTTCCTATTTGTGTTGCCTACCGTTTTCTCTGTCGTGCACAATTCTGCCGTAAACCATGTCTCAACGGTCGGGACTTGATTCGGGACCCACAAGTCCCGACACCAATACCACACCAGGAAGAGGTAGATTTGTCGGGTACTCGCAGCCGAGTAGAAGGAGAGAAAGTTGGCATTTTGAGAGGTCCAGTAGTTGTAGGCTAGGTCTAGGCGGGTACCAGTCCAACCAGTTTGAGTCTAGGGCTTGTACGGGCAATATCAGAGTCTGCAATGATGTTTCCCTCTGAATGGGAGGAGGTATCGGTTGCGGCCTAGGAAGTCACTCGCCAAGAGGCAAGCAACCCGTTATATGTCCAGGAGCGAAATGCTCCTCCTCATTGTCAGTGTGCAAGTTCGGCGACAAACTGGTTGGAGCGCTGGGTGGAGCAGTGCAAGCATCAGAGCAGCGTTGCTGGGGAAGGAGCAAGGACAGAGAGAGGAGGAAGACAAGGACCAGGAAGGGGGAGCGCCAAAGGTACTTACATGGCTATTGTGGTTCTCATTCTCATCACCTTGGTGGGCGCTGCAGCAGGAAGGCCCCGGTGGGGTAGAGCTACACCACGAAGCTTCGAGGCAGAGCCAGGCATAGCGGCCTGAGATGGAGCAGCCATAGGCCCATAGCTGCTTTGAGTTGTCCTTTGCACAACAGGGCAATGCCCTGGTAGTCCGCCATAGCCTCGGCCTTGGAGGAAGGAGGAAGAAAGGTGGCCATTGCTATGGTGGACCACATGTGATACCTTCAGTAGAAGAGGGATTCAAACATAAATTTTGGTTAAGCCATTCAACATTATTATTATTATTTCTTGTTTGAATAAGAGGGGAGGAGATAAGGAGGAGGAGAGTGGTTGGAGAAGAAGAAGGGAATTATCATTGGTCTTTGCTAGTGTACATCATCTTCTTCTTCTTTCTTTCTTCTTCTTCTTTTTCCCCTCTCTCTCCTCTCAAGTTCATTCATTTCTTTTTGCCATTGAACGACATTGTACTTTCTCATGAACGTGTACCTCGAAATCGACCAAGATCATAACAATAGAAAAAAATGCTCAAATGCTGCTAAAAGTTGGGGTGTTTCGCCATATACCCCCAAAACATAGGGGCATCAAGAAATGCCCCTATATCATGCATATGGCCCTGTCCCAGCCATGGGCAACTTTCCGATATGGACCTGCCTGTGGACAGTAAGGCCCAATGAACTTCTTTCCCCATGTGCCCTTCTACTGGTCAGGCATCCTCTCTGCCTGCAGGACAGCCACCTCTTGCTCTCTCTCTCTCTCTCTCTCTCTCTCTCTCTCTCTCTCTCTCTCTCTCTCTCTCTCTCTCTCTCTCTCTCTCTCTCTCTCTCTCTCTTGCCACTCCCAAGTGTCCCCACTCGTTCCTCACCCGCCCGATGCCATGTGGGAAGTGGTGTGACATGAAGGGCCCCCATGCCCAAGCAAACAACAAGCATAAATGCAAGAAAAAAAATGATGAACACACATGCACCTCTCTCTCTCTCTCTCTCTCTCTCTCTCTCTCTCTCTCTCTCTCTCTCTCTCTCT